GGGAACGGGCATTAGAGACAAGACGTGCAAATTAATAAAAGTTTGAGAATACCAATGTGATGAAAAAAAATGAGTGGTTGAAAATCTATAAAAAAAATATTGTTAGGACTCAAATATTGAAAAAAAAATTGGGACTCAAATAAGATCCTATTTATAGGGTTATAAATAGTTATAATAATTTTGTTGCATAATCTTTATATTGTTAAGACAAAAATTCTGAAAAAGGAATTAAAAGAAAAAGAAAAAAAATTACTGATATATTTACCATAAAATTTGCATCAAATTTATCTAATACATTATTAAGATAACAAAACAATTAAATTTGCAATCAAAAAATAAAATAAACGTGAGATCACATTTTAAAGCGAATAAAGCGATGAAAAGGGTGGGGAAAAAGTAAAGTATGCGTTGTTGTTCGTAAAGTTGATGAAATAAGTGTTGTAAAGTAGAGAAAAGTTGTAATTCTCATGAAAAATGTGTTTAAAATTGATTTTCGAACTTTATAAACCTACCTAACAAGCACTTTATGAAGTTTCTTATGGATGAAGTGAAAAAAAGCCAGCATATAATATAGATTTATTTTTAATTTACTATTCTCGATTAATATATTCGGGTTCTAAATTAATATTTTAAACACTTGGCAATTCATAAGAATACATCCTCAGAATTTTCTACGAGGGAATGTGATTCAGATTCACCAACATTTTTATTGAATATTGCGAAGGCTGCATTTCGGTGAAATCCATCAAATCCAGAATCTGATGCCAAAGCAAGTGAAGAAGGAGAGAAAATATACAGAATTGACTAATGACCCAAAAATCAAAATAAACAAAGACTCTGATTGTTAAAGTTTATAGAAAATGGATAAGTTGCCTCACGCAGAGGTGTGGAGGTTGCATGGGAATTAATAGGATGATTTCTGCACTTGTTTGTTGAGTATATTTTAAATTAAGAATTTAATGGAGTTTGGTAATTTATTTTCATATTATTTCGGTAGAAAATTGTTCGTGTACAAGCAGTATAGTGGACACTTGAATCCGGATATCGTTCCCACGAAAACTATACTTTAGGATTTAATCTAATTTTTCTAACTCATATTTGACAAAAACGAGTAAATAATTATGATGACTGTAATTATTTTTTCTAACTAACTTTGATTAATTGAAAGTATAAAATGATTGCAAATAATGGATAAGTGAAAATTCGAATATGTGATGAATATTAGGGTATAACAATTTCTAATATTCATCTATTGATCGCATTTATTCTTAATTCAAAATTCATAAGATAATGTAGTGTTCGATCGAATTCTTCTATTGTATTCAATTTACCCCTCTCAAGTTCTCATTAAACATATTTAACTAATTAAATTTCATATTTTTATGTGAATCAACTTTAATTAAATGAAACATTAGTTCTAAAAATTCATATTATGACCTCAATAATTAGTATATGTATCTCTACACGTTATACTAAATTATCGGATTTTATTATATGGTCTAAATCTCAACCTCACCTCTCGATGCGTAAGAGACTCACATAATCATCAAATTATTGATCATACAATTTAATACATTAAACTCATAATAAAATCAACACATAAATAAATAAATAAATCATAGAAATCTTGAATAAAAAATAAAGTATCACAAGTCGACTACATAGTTTTCCCTAATATAAAAATTAGTTATTCATATTGCAAAAATAAAAACTAGCAAAAGTGAAAAGATATCATCAAAAATTGACGAAATGTGAAAATTTATGGTGTTTGCAGTCTCATTTCCTTTCCTTTTCCTTTTCTTTTTCCTTTTTCTTTCTTTTCTTTTCTTTCTTTTTGTTTGATCATTTGACTCAAACTCATTTGATATAATATTTCTCTCCAAGGTTTCATTTTTAAATTTTGTCATTTTTCGACACTTTTGCATTATTTTCTCAAATTCTTCATAAATATAAAGTTTTACTTGCAAAACACAATATAACATAGATTGGGTAGAATTTAGGGTCTGTTTGGTACAGATTCTCATTTTCTACAGTAAATCAATTCTCATTGTCAACTACACATTTTTCAATAAAATAATATTTTCCATCACATCAATACTTTTTTCTTCTTTTTCAACCACACATTTCTCATCATATCACTATTCAAAAATCAATTCTTCCCCAAAAAATTCCTACCAAACACACTCTTAATACAAAAGATAATAAAATATCATGATTTAATGCCACAAATAAGTGTATAAACTACACTTATCACACCATCAAACTTGAATCTTTATTTGTCCTAAAACAAAGTGAAAACCTAACAAATACACAAACACGCAATGCTAATTATTTAATTGGTGGCCAGTCAATCAAGTGAAGCAACAAGATTTAACTAGCTAACCTGACTTTTTATCTCGGGATTGAAATCATAATAACAAATATATGCACAGCTTCAAAATTACAATACAGGAATTAAAATCTATTTTTCCAATGTAAAATCGATGTGTGTGTAAAGAATTAAGCATGGCATTATGAATTCATAAGTT